GCCAGCCAGGTCATTTGGATGAGTGGTCGTTTTCACTCGCCAATTTTGGCGAAGCGGCCCCACCCACCCTCGATTTTTCCCGCGGTGTGTGGGCCTGCGGCCCAACTCTATGACTCTCCTCTGAGTAATCTGGCAGCATCATCGGCTTATGGTTTTCATTTTTTATCTGGATTTGCTCTGGACAATCTCTTATTTTTTTTTTGACAAAGGGGAATGAGATGTGGACGCTGGTTTTGAAAGCTTAGGCCTGGACCCCACTGGCCGGGGGTCGGAAAACTTTTGGCATGGAAAGCCGATTTCGGACCCCACCAGGCCGCCGGGAGGTGGCTTGCAAAGACGCGAACGTGTTTTGTAGACCCCACTGCCGTCCTGAAAAGCACGGTGGGCGTGATTCTACTCGGTCGGCGGTTGGAAAAGTCCCCGCCAGGATGCGGCATTCCTTTTCCAAACTCGGCTTTTCTGGCAGGGTGGGGCAAAGCGCCAACTGTGGAAGGCGGGGAGTGGCAAGGTTCGGTCCAGTGCATGGGCGCCGCGGACTAGAGGCTGGACCAGGCCTCCGCAATGCGGTGACATTTGGCGTTGCACGAGTCCCACACACGGGTCGTCCGCGGTACCACATGGATCACCCATGCGGCGGTACCCTCCACTGTGGGCAGCTGGCGGGAACGCGGAAATTCGAATTTCGGCGGTGGCCAAAATTCAAATTCCGAAAGGCAATGGGCATTTGCAGTTCAGGTGGGTGGCTGGCCGACGACAGAAGCAAGCCGTTGCATGCGGGTGGTTGACCAAGGATAGAGGGATGCTCACACGTTTGAATGGCCGTCGAGGACGTGAGTCCACGACTTCGCAAGCCATACCAGCACGCCGAGGTGGACGGTCGATCTGCCATGCGGCTGCTCCATCGCATCGGTTGTTTCGGCCATGCCGCTTTTTGCTGTCGTGCTGCGACGCTGGTCCGCCATCTTCTACCATGTCCCCGGCATTCGCATACGGATGCCTCCTTTGCAGTAAGGACAGTGCTGCGCTCTCCTGTTGTCTTCCCTGGGCAGGAAGTGTTTCGAGGTTTCTATCGTCGAGGTGGAGGCGCTGACGTGGTTCTGCCGTCTCCCGTACATTCCTCCGGCCCGTCCCTTGTTCCACGGCCGTCCACGTCACCTTCTCTCGTACCACTGTCGCCTCGACAACCGATGTGCAGCGGAGGTCGTCTTTTGTGGATTCAACAAGCACAGGGTTGCAGCCAAGTTGGGGAGCGGCAGCAGACCAACTGCGGACACGTGGTGACTGGGATTGGAGAGGGCAAGACTGGTTGTCGTCACGGGCGACGCAGGGGGTGTGGGTGGTGTTCTTCGGTGGGGTGTCCTGTTGTCGTTGTCGTCACGAACTGCTGCGAAGTTGGGGTCGGTGGTGGCGCATCACCGCTGATTGTGGGGGCAGTGCTGTTGTTGGTTGTCCTCTTCGTGGCCGGCTTGTTGTTGCTTTTGTCACTTCTCTTCTTCTTCGGTGTCGCCATTCTGGTGTGCAGGCTTCGATAGTCCAACTGTAATTGGGGGGCAGGTAAAGGTCTCGCCTTTCGTGGAGGCGGTGGCCTTCTTCAACCAGGGAGTCGTGCGATGGACTCCAATCGGCGGACAGTGGGAGGCGAGGGTGCTTTCGGCGGTGGTCGTCACATGCAGGACGGGCATTTGCACACACGGCCTCTGTATAGCGGCCCAGCGACAATGAGCATGCCCCTTTTCAATGGTGGTCGCCAATGTGCTTCGCCGGCTGGACGTGCGTGTTTCCGTGCAACGGCGCCCATGCAGTCGTCCGCGTTCCATGGAGCATACGACGGGCAGTTCAGTGAGCACATGCACGTCGGTCCAGTGCATGGAGGTCCGCCGGCGTGGGTGTTGCACCAGGTGGACTCGTATGGTGTTGGTGACCATGTTGTGCACGGACATCAGCCTTCCGACGTGTATGGAGGAATGTCGTGTGCACAAGGTCCGACCGGCGGTGCAGGTTTCGGCATGGCGTCACTGTCCGTACAGTCCATGGGCATGGGTGGCAGGCCATGGTCTCCACAATGTGGGCAGAGCCCGGGGCGATTGTTCGGGGCAAGGGTTTCCCCGTCTCCAGCAGTTGGTGATGATGGAGAGAGTACCTAGACCCGGCCGGCGCCGAGGCCGATGTCCCCTGACACGCGCATGGACCCGCCTTACTATGACGGTGCCGGCGGTTCTGAAGCAGGTGACGATGACGGCGTTGCGGAGCAAGGAAGTGTCGATCCCGTTCGCGATCAAAGCGATGTGCTCAACAGTGGTGGAGCGGGCAAGGCGGGTAACGGACGGCCTGCGAACGCTCGTCCGCCGGCTCCGAAGAAACAGAACGTACCATGGACGTTGGATGAGCGGATAAAGCTCGCGATGTTGATGGGTGAGGATGATGCCCTCATGGCAGATGCCCGTGGGCAACACCGTTTCAAGCAAAGGAAGGAGCGGTATGTTTGGGTGAACGATAGGATGAAGGAGGCCGGGTTCAAACATAGGAGCGTTGAGGACTGCAGGAAGAAATGGTCGAACATGATGCAGACGGCGAAGCTCATCGTCGAGAAATGTGAAGCATCTGGCCAGCCGCGTATTGGGATCTGTCGTTGGAGGAGCGAAAGGAGAAGAATCTCCCACTGTCCTTTGAGAAGGCATTGTCGGACGCTATGCAGTGGCAATTAGATCAGTCGTCGACGAAGTGCAACAAAACATTGGCTTCGGAGAACCTAATGGGGGGGGGGGGAAGCGCATCGACGAGTGGTAGATCGGAGGAGAGGTGTGCTGACGAGTCGGACAGTGCTGCAAAGATCCGGCGAACGGAGAAGGGGAAGGCGAGGAGGGAGGAGGCGAGTACCATTGCCACGCCGTTGAGCAGGGCCATGGAGGATTCCACTCGGTCTTACTGCGATGGCCTCGACAAAGCGGCCAGTAGCCTGGCAAAAGCCACCGCAGACGTCGGCTCTGCAATTGCCAGTCGGATAGAAGACGTGGCCGAAGTGATGCGCGGTGGTAACAGTGTCCTCGAGTTGCTGGTGGGGGTTCTCGCACGCCGGGGGTCGGACGGAGGGGGTGCAGTGGGGGGTGGGCGGGAAACGGACCCGTCATTACGGTGATGACGATATATGTATATATGAGTAGACGTGTGACGGTCGGTGTCTAGCGACGGGGTTATGTGCTCGTCCATTGGCTTTTAGGCTGACGAGAAGACCAATGGGCGCGG